ATATATATATATATATATATATATATATATATTATATATATATATATATATATATATATATATATATATATAAATATATATACATATTTATATATATATTTATTCATTTACATTTTCGTATATATTAGTAGATGCTGATTTTACACTCATTCTTATTCCAATCATCATATTTAAAACTAAATTCCAATCTTAGTGACCAAAAAGTACCATGTACTGTTTTTTATTTTATTTTTGTCTTTTTTAAAAAAATTTTTCTTCCAAAAATACACTTTTTCTTTATTTTTGCAATAAAGATTATTAAAAAATTTTAGGAGCACTATTTTCTTATTTTTTTAGATTATCATTTTTAAAAATACTATATCTTTAACTTTAGTTTGTAGTATTTTATTTCTTTATTTAATTTATTTCTTTATTTTATTGAATTTATCTTAAATTCTATTTTATTTTTTCTAATTAATTTAATGTAATTTATAATTTCCGAATTATTTCTTTGTTTTCATATTTATTTTCTACATCAAAATTTATTTAAATTTCTTCTTGTGGCTTTTTTTCGTCTAAGTCTTCTGAAAAAGAAGAACTTTATTAAATTTAACTATCCTAATCACCTTTTAAATTTTATATAATTTTGCCAAAAGAAGCTTTTATATTCATAGATTAGTTTTATTTTTAAAAATGTTAACATATACTACATACTTAGTTTTTTTCTTATAAGTTTATATCAAATAGGGCAGTTTCTAATTCTTAATTTTATGAATTTTGATTTTATAATTGAATATAATCTGAATCTTCTATTAAAGAAACGGAATCTTTTTTATTATTTATAAATGTAAAATTTTACTATTCTTTCCTTTGTTCTAAATTTTATAAATCTTTACTTTTTTAAATATATTATTATTCATTTGTATTTTTTGAAAAATTATCGTCTTTTTATGATTAAAAATCTTTATTATTTTATTAAAAATAAAAATCATTTGCTGAATTTTCATTTATTTTTATTTTTTTTTAATTTTCATTTTTTTTTTTTGATTTTGACTATTTTCTTATTAATTTTCATTATATTTTAATAAATTTTCATTATTTTTTAAATTTTCATTATTTTTTAAATTATCATTTTTTTTTAATAAATTTTCATTATTTTTTTAAGTAATCAAATTTAATTCAATTTTTTATAATTTATATTCATTCTTTTAAAAATCTTAAAGCGAATAAAATTATTTTTTTATAAATATTAATCATTAAATTAAGTTTTTTTTTCAAACTAATTATTTTAAGTATCTCCATTAAAACGATTAAAATAAGGACTTTTTTCTTATTATATATTTTCTTAGTTATTATATTCTTAAAATATATCAGAATCTCCCTATAGAAAATTTTACAAATTATCGATTTATTTTTCGATTTAAAAAATTTCATTATATAATTTATTAATTTAATCATTTTATACATAATCTGTCGCCCCTTTATTTAAAAAGTCAAATATTTCTAATAAATCAGGATATTTTTAAATTGCTTTTTCATAATCATCCAAATAAACTTTTCCAATTTATTTCAAATCCATAACATTAAATATATGATCTATTAAATATTAAATTTTTTTTAATTTAATTATGTCTAAGTTAATGCAGCCCAAGATCGAACAATGCTATTAATCATTGAAGAAAGATCTTCCTTAATAAAAAATCCTTTTTATTAAACGTCAATAAGTTTAAACGAAATTTTAATTTATTCAGATTCTTCACCATTAATAATAATGTCATAATACTAAAGAAATTTTGAGAAAGTAATCTATAAAAATAAAAAAAATATATAAAATATTAAAAATATATATATATAAATATATATATAAATATAAATATATATATGTATTTATATTTTTATATATTTATTACTATTCCTGTTTATCCTGCTATAACATTAAATATTCTATCACTTGAAAATTATACATAATCTAATCCTAATATTCCTATTGAATCTCTAAATTTTTCTCTATCTAAAATTCCTGTTTAATTTGTCATTTACATAAATCTTTTTTTTTTATTGTATTTTTGTATTAATAACAAGCATTTTTTTTTAAAATACTCATATAAATTTCTTTGTTTTTTTTGTAATTATTTACTGTTGTTTTAATTAATATACTTCTTATTAGCTAAATCGGATATCTTATGATAATTTCTAAATATCAAAAATTGATTAAGATCTTTTTTTTTATATATTAAACTACAACATCCAATTTTCATCTTTTTAATCACTATTTATATTACAAATTATAATTAATAAATTAATATTTAATAATAAAAATTTAATATAATTAAATAAATAATTTCAATATAAAAATTAAAATTAAAAAATTAATAAAAAAAAAAATATTTATTGAGAAATATTTAAAACGAAAATTTAAAATAAAATAAAATATTAAAAAAAATGAATTATTATTAAATTTAAAATATAATAAATTTAAAAAAATAAAATAAATTTTATATTTTTATAAAAAATAATTATACAATATAAATAATAATTTTTTTTAAAATTTAAATTATGTCATTCAAAAATATATAAAAGAAAATACTAAATTAAAATCTTTATATAAAAAATTTAAAAATATAAGAAATTAAATACATAAATAATTATGTAAAATATATATATATATATATATATATATATTTTTATAATTTATTATAAATAATATATATTTATACATTTAAAAATTTTATATTTTTTTTATTTTTTACAAAAAAGAATGTTCATTCAATTTTTAAATAAAATATATATATATATAAAAAATTTAATTAATGAATATTTATTTTATATTTTATAATATATTTTTTTATAAAATTGCAATTAATTATTTAATGAATATATAATTTACATATTATAAAAAAAAAATATAATAAAAGAAATAAAGCTTATTAATAATATATATATATAATTTATTAATTAAATTTCAATATATAATATAAAAATTATATATATTTATTTTCTTTAAATATTCTTAAATATTTTATTTTTTTCAATGTTTAATTTTTTTTATTATTTATTCTTCTCCAGAATTTAAAATTTATTCAATTTTTTTATTATTATTATTATTATTTTTTTAATCATCTTAATTACCATTATTTTCTTTTTCATATTTTTTATCGTTTAAGTCATATTCTTATCTATTAAAATTATTTACATGAGAATTTATTTAATTATCAAAATTTTAATTCTTTTTATTATAAAAAAACGACAAAGACTCAATATCATTTTTTTCTTCTATTTTATAATTTTATATATTATTATCTTCATCCTTATCTATATCATCTTAACTATTATACTACCACATATTCTTAATTTTACTATCAAAATTATTATTATAACCCTAATATTCATCAAAACTATTAGACACATTAAGCTTCTCATTATTAAAATTTTAACAAATTTATTTAAATATATAATTTTTCTAACTTTTTTCAATCAATTCTTTTTCGTATTTTTTAATCTAAAAAATATAAAAAAAATAATAAATAAAATTAAAATAAAATATTAAATATATAAATATAAATTAAAATAAATACTTATATATATATATATTTATATTTATAAAATATATATTTTTATAATATATTTAAATATTTTACCATATATTTATAAAGAAATTTATATTCTTAAGCATTACTAATGAGAGTATAATTTAGAAATTCCATAAATGTAGAATTTATAAGATTTTATTTTTTTTGATTATTTTTATAAATATTCCAAATGTTATCAATAATTTATTCTTCTATAAAATAACTAATTAAAAACTAATCATTAATAAGTAAATTCTTAACAAGTTTTATTAAAGAAGCTTAAATAACTTTTGATTTAACATTCATATTATTAAAAAATTCTATAATAATTTTATTTTCAATTAAAAAATTTCTAAAAATACAAGGATTTAATCTATCAAAAATACAAATAACCTCTAAAAACTACACCACAAAGCTAATAAATACACTATCAATATCTTTCGTTTCTTTATATTTCCCCAAACACGGCAAAATAAATTCATTAACGGTTTATTCCATTATATTTTCCATTAAAAAATCTCCATTATTTTCGTTCTACTTTGCATATTCACAGATTAACCTAAAGATTTCTATAATTTAAATTTAAACTCCTATATCTTAACTCAAAAATAAATCAGTAATTTACTTAAAAAATGCAATACTTTCTAAATTCCTTTCTTTTTTTTTATTCCCATATAATAAAATTATCAAAGCGCATTTATTTTCTTAAGCCATCATAGTTAAAGCTTCCATTAATTATATACATTATTTAGTTTTTTTCATATAATCTATATTTGGATCTTAGTATATTATATTTAAAGCCTTAAAATATAAATTAGTGAATAAGTTATTATTTAAAGAATCTATTATTTCAGGTTTTTTTAATTACTAATTTTTTTTTAAATATATTTTTTTTTGTATCTTTTTACTAAATTTGGATTGTTTAATATTTGTACAATTTCACTAGTAAATTATATAGAGTCATTTAAATTATTAAAAAACTTATCACTGAATTCTTTTATAAATTCATTTTATTTAATATATTCTAATATATCAATATTATTTCTAAATATAATCTTTTTAAAAAATTTTTGTATTTTATATATAAATAATATAATTAAATATATAAAATAATTTTTTTATATTAAAAAAAAAAAAATTAATATTAATAATTACTTACTTAATTAAATATTTTATTAATTTATTCTTCTACAGTAGCATTTATAATATAATCTTTCAAATATTATAATCTATAATTTATATGTATTTTTTCTAGAATATCTTGATTTTATATTGGAATTATTTCTTTATATCTATTTTCTTTTTGCCATTAAATTCTATAATTTTATTTTTCTTTATTAACATTTTCATCTTTTTTTTTTTTTTTTTTTTTTAAAAAAAAAAAAAAAAAAAAAATATTTAAAACTTTTATTTATATTTTTTGAAATTTTTTTTTTTTATATTCCGTAAAAAAAATATTATTTTTATATTTTTTTACGGGTTTTAATTTATTATAAATACATTCCAAAGCACCAAGGCAGTTATAAAAAATGATTTCTTTCATTAAATAAACAATTAATTTTATTCATTTGAAAATACTATATATATTATAAAATAGATATATATATATATATATATATTTATATATTAAATAATAAAATACATATTTTTCTAACAATCTAATATATTAAATTAAGCTTTTCATAATCTTCCAAATCTTCTAACTCTTCGAAAATTTCAAATAATTTGTTTATATATTCTGGCTTTTTAAAATTAAAAAAAATACATATATATATATATATATATATATTATATATATATATATATATTTATATATATATAAACTTTATTCATAATAGCAGTAACATAGAAATCGAAATCACTATCAAACTATTATATTAAATATAATGCATTAAAGAAAAAAAAAAATATTTTACACTTTATAATATTTCTTATAAGCTTTAATGTGAAGGCATTTCCGGTTCTATATTTCCATAATTTCTATCATTATAAGAACTTCCTTCATTTATATTTACTCCGTTATTTTTTTTAATATATTCCCTAAAATAAAAAATAAAAAAATACATCTATAATAATTTTTTGTTTATTTTTTAAAAAAAAATAAAAAATAAAATAAACCAAAATTCATTTGTTTATTATGAATCAGTAAAACTTATTGCAAATTCAAAGGATGTTACTTTTTCTCTACAAATTACTATTGTATCTTTTATTTAATTATTTTATATTTAAGTCACAAATTATATTTTACCATTTTGCCTTTCATAATAGTTTTCTGGATTAAAACGAAATTAAATTATTAATTTTTCTTCAAGATTTCTGACTAATTTACTTATTTCCTATTAATCAAGTTCTGTAGTTTCGACTAATTCGTCTGTTTTATTAGCATATACGGCTATAAATTCTTCTTATTCTTCAGTTTAATCATTAAATTATGTTATATGGTACATGTTTCCTACTCCTAAATCAACCCAGGATTCTTTTTTTTTTATAATATTTTTTTATATATATTTTTTTAAATTAAAAAAACCTTATTTATTCAAAAAGTAGATTTTAACTTTTGTATTTTTATGTCCTAATAATTTTTATTATTAATTTAAATGATGTGAATGGGCTCTCATTTTTTTTTTTATAAAAAATTTTTATATAAATTTAATATTTTTATTTTCTATTTTTTATTTTTTATTTTTTCAAAAAAAAATTTTTTTTTTTTTTTTTTTTTTTTTTGTAGTTTATTTTTATTTATTTTTATTTATTTTTTTAAATTAAATTAAAATATATAAATTATAATTTTTCAATATAATTTTCCCCCTTTTATTCAAAATAAAAAATTTATATAATTTTGTGTCTATATAAAATATCATTTAATAACAACTTTATTTATTAAAAAAAACAAATTTTTATTTTTTCAATAAACCATTCTAAAAACACATTTTTTTTTATTAAATAAAATATATATGTTATAAACCAAATAAATACAAAAAATTAACTTTAAATTAAAAATAAATATTTATATCTTAAACTTATGTAAAATTTTTTATTGTTTTTAGATATATTTATAAAATATTATTTTAAAAATAATTATATATATATACCAAAATTAAGCAATTTATTAATTATAACATATATTTTTTATTTTTTTAATCAAAAAGTTAATATATATTTTGAAATAATTTCATTTACATATATTAGATAATATAAATATTACTATTGTTATTAATATTATTATATGAATTAAACATTTTTATAAAATATTATAATCTTTTTTGGATATAACTTAAAATAGATAATTTTTATATTATTTTATTTTAATTTTTTTATTTTATATTATTATTTATTTTATTTCATTTTTTTTATATCCTTTTGTTTTATTAATATTATTTTATAAAAGTTGTCTATAAAATTGATTTGATATTATTTAATTTTTTTTAATTAACTTTATTTTATATATATTTAATTATGTTTTATTATAAATTATTTATTTTTTATATTCATTTTTTTTATATATATTTATTTTAATTTATTATTTTAAATAATATCTTTATATTATCTTATAATAAAATATTTAATAGCTATTTTACCAAATAAATTATAAATTGAAAATAAAAGTAAAATAAAATAAAATTTTTTAATAAACATTAAAAAAAAACATATATATTAATATTTTTTTTTAAAAAAAAAGAAAAAATAAAATAATTCATTAATAATAGGTATATAATAATAATAATTAAAATAAAATAATAATAATAATAATAATAATATAAATAATAATTATAATAATAATAATAATTTTATATTTCTATAAATTCATTATATATAACTATAAATATTATATTTAATAACATTATTTATATAAATGAGTGGGATATAAATAGTAAAAAAGTTAATGGTTATATGGTCTATAATTGCAATTTTTTATTCATTAATTTTATATTTAGTATTATATAAATAAATCTACAATTATATAAATAAATTAAAAAAAATAGAAAGAATGGAAATTTAAATTTGAAGGAAAAATAGATGAATTCTGTACCGATGCATCAATAATAAAAAAAATTAACAATTAAATATATCCAAAATTAAATTAATTATCAGTATAAATATATATTTAATAATATTAAAAATAATAATAAAAAATAAAGCATACAAAATTTTTCCGGACATTTAAAGTTAATATAGAATCTGAATGTAAATTTTTCACAATAGAAGGTCATTGTAAAAGCCAAGGCTGTGCTGTATGTTAATGTGATGATAATAACGTAAAAAATAAAAAACTATATAAATATATAAAAATATATTAATATATATATTTATATTTATATATATATATATATATAATATAAATATATACAATTATTTTTACATTTATATATTTTTAATAAAAATATCTAATCTTATTTATTTAAAATTAATAATAATAATTTTATATATATAGATTCCTATTCCTTGGAAAAAAACAGATTTAGTACATACTGAAAATTATCATAATTCCAACATAATAGAAAAAGATACAAATGAAGACGAATACTTTTGGAGAGTAGAAGAATTTGAAAAAGATGAAGGAACATATGTAGATTTGAAAACAAATGTAGAGGCCTATACTGGTTATTAAGGTTAGAAAATATGGAAGCTAATATATGAGGAAAACTGTTTTAAAGGTGAGGAAAAAGATATGTGTAAAGAAGAAAGGACCCTAAATAGAATTTTAAGTGGTTTACATGCTAGTGTGAGTACCTAATTATGTGAATTATACCTTAACGATTTCGAATAGAAGAATAAAAATTATGTACCTAATTGGCCCCTTTATTTTTAGAAAGTCGGAGATTATCATGAAAGGATTTAAAACTTACTTTTTTATTATACTGTGCTTTTAAGGGCGATAAATAGGGCTGATAAAGTTTTGAGAAATTATGATTATAATACAGGAGATTTTGTTGAAGATTTTAATGTAAAAACCATTATTAATGATATTTTAGATATAACGACTTTATAATGTGATCATCCTTTTTAAGAAAAGGACTTTTTTACTTCTATAAGAGGAGTAACTTATTAGAAAATATATATATATATATAAATATACATTAGAAATAAGCAAAAATATATTATCAAAATTACATTCATAATATTACAAGGATTATGGATTGTGTAGAATGTGGAAAATGCAAAGTTTTTGGAAAAATGTAAGTTTACGGTATTGGTGTGGCTTTAAAAATTCTTTTTTCGGGTGATTCTACTGTTTAAATATAAAATTTAAGGAGAAATGAAATTATTGTACATATATATTAATTATTATTATAATTTATTATTTTATTTTTTTACAAAAAAATAAAGACATTAGTAAATGCATTTGTAAAATGTGCTAGTAGTGTAGAAATAATTGAAAATATGTTTTTCAGAAAATATAATTTTTATAAATCTTTAGGTTTAGCTATTTTTAGTTCGGTAATGACTTTTTTATTGTTTTTGATTTTCGCCTTTTATTTCAAGGATAATTATTTGAATAAAAAAATAAAGAAAATGTTTAGAAATTTCCCTACTAATATTCCAGACCCTAATAAAAAAAGAGATGAATTATTATAAAAATAATAATAAAAAGCTAGAGAATAGATATTTCAATCTGAAAGTGAACAAAAGCTTAAAAAAGATTGAAAAAAAAAAAAAAAATTATTTTTATAAAAAAATATATTATTTTTATGTTTTTATTAATATATATATAAATAATATATATATATATTTATATAATTTTCTATTTATTTAAAATAATAAATCATTTAGTTTTATTTTACAATTAGTCTTATTTTGTAATTAAATATGCTCTTAAGCCATCTAAATCAAATTTTGGTAGATTATAGCTTTTATGAGGTTAATTATGTTCTTTAATATTAGCTCCATTAATAATAAGTTTTTAAACAATTTAGTTTTAAACTAATAAAATCTATTCTTCATTTTTAATTTTTAAAACCTTTAAAGCCACAAATAAAGGACATCTATGTTCAAATTTATTACTACAAGTGCATCTTAGACTAACTCCTAATTAAATAAATATATCTAATAGCCTATCTGCTTTTTTATAACTTATTTCTCTATGACCTTTTTATAATCTTGCCTAACAAATAATATTCACTAGCATACTTGCTGTAGTCCTGTATACTTTTTCTTCTATTTCATAACAACGGTCTATTGGTGCTTATTAATCTAATAATTATTTTGCATGTTCATAATCTTAATGTTTGATAGCGAAAAATAATGCTTTGCCTAAATCTAAGCCTATATTTCTTTAATTTCTTATTGCTTCTTAGTTTGAAACTGGTTTACATTATTAATGTCTGGAATACATTATTTTTTTATTTTTTATTTTCTTTTTTTAATAAATAATAAAATAAAATTGTTTCACAAAAAATAAAATAATTTTAATGTATTTATAAATATTATTATTAAATACTATTTTAATAAAGTATGTTTTTATAATTTTTTTAAAATTATTTTTAATTAATTAATATTCTTTTTTATTTTTGTTACTAATTTTTTTAATTATTATATATATAAAAAAAATTTATGAATAAATACGAAAACTAAGCTTATTAAATACTAAAAGATAGAATATCCACTATTTAAGGACATTTTTTAATACAAAAAAATAAAAAATCGACCATGTAGTAACTTTAAATAACTACAAAGCTTTAATTATATTATCAGATTCATAAGTAATAAAAGTTAATTTATTAAATTCATAAATAGAAAACTAAAAAACAGCATACTTACATAAATATATTTAATAAATACACGTATATGATAAAGATTACATAATATACATAACAATAGAAACTAATCAAATAATATTTTTTAACTATAATTAATTCATTATAAATTATTAAAAATCAAATATAAAAATTCCGACTCTTTAAGCAATTCCATAAGAGCATAGAAATAAAGAAAATATAAATGATATGCTAGAAAATGGTATATAAATATAAGTAATGCCATAAACAAAATATATAGTACTTTTCGAAGTAATTTTTTTTAAAGAAATTTTAATAATAAAAATAAATATTTTTTTAATAATAAACAAAATTTTGTATAAAATTATCTAAAATAATTAAATATATATATATATGTATATATAAATAAATATAAATAAAATATGTATATATTATTAAAAGGTTTCTTATATATTAAATATAACACAAAAAAATTTTCTAACCAATTTTGATTTAAAAATTGAGAATAATTATTTATAAACATTTTTTGAAAACAGAGATATAAACTAAATGTTTTATTTATAATTTCTCAATAAAAAAGATGTAGTTTGTGTTTATTCCTAATTTTTTGAATTTTCTCCTGTTTTTTTTTATATTTGGAATATTTAAAAAAACGAATAAATTCAAAGATTTAATTTAAAATAAAGTATAAACGGAATCGTTTAATGTTTTTTTCCTTTTAAACAAAATTTAGCGGGAATTTTAATTAATTTGAAAAAAAACCCTGTTCCATTGTTAAAAATATTCGATTTTACTTCTAAAAATCCTATTTAAGTATAAGAGGAAGATTACCCTTTTAATTTTCTTTTAAATGAAAATAATGGAAATTAATTTGATTAAATTAATATTTGTTTATTAGATATTTTTTTATTAGATATCGAAAGGGAAAAAATAGCTTGGATAAGGACAGGTAAAAACGGGAATTATTTCGAAATTTTTAACCCTTTTAGTAAATAAATAGTTTATTAATATTAAGAAAATAGTGGAAAAGATAACGGTTATTCCAGATATGAAAAATGTGTATCTAATAATCAAAATTACATACTTTCCTACAATTTAATTTAAGAATATATTTTTGATGATACTCATTACAAGGTTAGATTTTAGTTAACTTCAGTTGTTAGAGTAAAAAGTTCGCTGATGTTTTTATTTTAATAAAAAGGTTTTAATTAAATTTACGGTGAATAAGTTTGTAAAGATATTATTGATATGCTTATTTAATGATTTTTGTTGTTTTAATATATTTTAAATTTTGATTATAAATAATAAGAATTATAATAAATATTTTATTTTTATTATATTATTTATTTATTAATATATATGTATATTTATTTTTAAAAATTAATATGTAAAATTAATTTATTTAAGATATGTTTTTATAGCTAAAATATTATATATATATATATATATAGATATATTATTTTTATTTTTATTATAATTATTTTATTA